ATTACCTTGCTTCGCCCCACTTTTTCTATGTCCCGCAGCCTGCTCAGTCTGGGTACTGACGAGATGCCCCACCTCCTGCAGAGCCCGCACTGTATGGGAGGTGGGAAGACAAACCGCAGCAACGGCTATGATAAGGAACACGCCGCTTCCCAGATCACTGGCAGCCTGTGCTGCCTGTACTGAGAGCCGCGCATTCCTTGTGACAGCCGCTGCTTGAGTCAGTGGGAGGCAGCCCCGCAGTCTCCGTACCGCTTCAATGACGGCCTAGCCTGCACAACATCAGAGGGGCCCGGGGGGCAATTGCGGACCAACCAAAATTTTCTTGAGGACCACCGGTTGACGACCACTGGTCTATAGGGCTGTAAAAGGGTAAGCATTGTAAAGTGTGATTATGTAAATGGATGTGGAATATACGGATGCCTGTCACATACAGTATACCGTATATGTTTCCTGATCCAATAAGACCAATCCTTTTACCTCTTAGATCTTGTCCTGGCCACAGGATGCCAACCAGGGTGCAGCAATATCTAAGCATGACAAAAAAGGAGGTGGGAAAGACAAGGGCAAAGACAAAGCCAGAAGTAGCTCTGGGGTAAGTGTGAAGGAACAGGTAGCCAACATTTGTGACATTTTATTAGACTGGGTTCTTGGGGCTCAGACATGGATATACTAGTCTTTTAGCAGATTAGGCACTAAATTCTTAAGGTTAATTTTGCAATTTGAAGGTTCAACACAAAAGCCTAACTTTAAGGTTGCAAATGGAGCTATGCCAGCTGCCCTAATGTGTGATACACAGACAGATTCAATAACTTGCACCAGATTTTTTATTCTAGTTGTGTGATATCAGGATGGTTTGGTGGTGCCGGGGGACCACTAGCAATCATTAGCAATATATCTGATGACTGCTGGTGGTGGTGGGGGAGCACCAGCAATTAACAGCAGTCAGCAAACATCCTCCACATGTTCAATCTATATAGTACAGGCTGTTTATTGGGAGTTTTGGTCTAGAATGGGTCATTCTTTGTATAGGCAATCACCTCAACTAAATACCAGCTTTGACCACACAACTTGCAATATAGATATAAAATTCAATCAACAACCCCCAGAACTATCACAATGCCACTCATATGCATCTAAAATACATTTCTTTTAATAGTATTTGCTTAATAATCCATTTTATCTTAATAACAGTGAGCTTAGTTGTATTCAATCAGTTGTTGTTGTCGACCATTTGTTTAACCTCCTACATTGCTACATTTTCGAAATGGTCTTACTGGTAGAAGAAATGTACAGCCTAATGTCTCAGCCATTCCTTTGTACCGTGTATACCTGATGACTCTTCAGGTGAGCAGATCTACAGATACATCTGATGTGTTCACTGTTTTGTACCAGGGAAGTAAAGCTGGTTCAAAGAGTAAGAAGAAAAAAGAAAATCTAGATGATCTCCGCCATGATCCACCAGTGGTACGGACTCTTGGATCTGTCGCTATACCCTTAGAAAGTCTTGTTTCTGGAGAAGGTCAAACATTCCATGTGTGTAACTTTGGGACTTTGGCTACTGATATGGGGCAAGATGGCAATGATAAGGTAATGTAAGCCAAACATGAATGTATCTGACCTGTACACAAAGCTACATTATACATAAAAAGTAGCCAGTGAAACACCACTGAATGAAAAAAAAATGGCAAATGAACCAATTAAAGTGTATATATATGATTACAAGGAATGCCATGCACACAAGTTCCTCTCTGTGACACTTGTGTTAAGGAATCTCTAAACAATATAATGAAAGGATTTGTACACATTGAATTGGGAGTTTCTAAGACAGACTTTAGTGCATTCTGAAGCCGATGTTTTGTGCATGTCATCTCATCTAAAGAAAGAAGTCAACAATCTCTGAATGCACTGAAGCCTCCATGGGAACTTACCATGCTAGCATGTGGTCAATCATTTGTGTGTGGGCAAGAACTTTCACTATTTAAAGAGAACCAGCCACAGTGTTTGATTTGTATGGACAGAGGCGGCTCTTGACTTTGTGAGGCCTTAAGCGAAACTCAAATGTAAGGCCCCCACCTACACCCATAATGAAAAAAAATGCAAACGATAATAAAAAATGAACTGTATCAATTGCATATTTTAAGACTAGTATTTAATCCCAACAGCCAGGAATTCACAGCTCCTAGAGCTAGAATTGTATTTCTGTCTCATATCTAATTCCACAAATAACTATACACAAAACCCTGACCCTAAGGAAGTAATGCACAAAGTGCAAAGGTCAGTAGTAAGAAACATACAGAGTGCAGAGGTCAGGAGAAGGTAACGCACAGAGTGCAGCTGTCAGGAGGTAATGCACACAGTACAGAAGTCAGAAGGATCTGATGCACATAGTGCAGATGGAAGTAACGCACAGAGTGCATCGGTCAGAAGGAAGTAAAGTACAGAGTGCATCGGTCAGAAGTAAGTAACCCACAGAGTGCATCGGTCAAAATTAAATTGCCGAGGTGCAGAGGTCAGGGGTGTGACACAGAGCGCGGACTTGAGGCAGAGAGAGGAGGTCAGGGGTGTGACGCAGAGCACCGAGGTCAGGGCTGTGATGCGGAGGTCAGGGGTGTGACGCAGAGCGCGGAGGTCAGGGGTTTGACGCAGAGCGCGGAGGTCAGGGGTGTGACGCGGAGGTCAGTGGTGGGACGCAGAGCGTGGAGGTCAGGGGTGTGACGCAGAGCGCGGAGGTCAGCTGTGTGATAAACAGTACAGGGGTGGGACGCGGAGTGCAGGGGTGGGACGCGGAGTGCAGGGGTGGGACGCAGAGTACAAGGGTGCCCCAACTGCCTGAGTCGCTCTGAGGTTCCATCACAGGCAAGTTAGGCGGCAGCAAGGCCCCCGTGAGGGGGAGGCCTTAGGTGACCGCCTAACTCGCCTAATTAGAGAGCCGCCTCTGTGTATGGATATCCCTTTTCCCTGAATGCACCTGGGACTTTATAGCCATCTTATGAGCAAAGTCTGGGGAAGCAGGGGAGTCTTCCTCATGCTGCTTCTGGGATAGTGATATCACTGGCAGTGGAGATAAGTGGGCTCAGCTACAAATTTCTGAAAGCAACATGAGTCCAACTCTCCAACTAAAGTAATTTCTTCATAATTTAGTTCTTATATCTATGTATAATTTGGATTATTGTTATAATAATTATTTTAAAATGGTATTCTTGCCATAATAATAATCATCGTCGTCATCGTCATCGTCATCATCATCATCATCATCAAAAAAACCAATCTGTTCTAAAAACTAAAGACAGTAAATTACATGAATAATGAAATTTAATGCATCTGTCTCTTCAAGAGGCAATATCGGAGCAATACTTCAGGACTATAGTGATACATTTACCTGGCCATGCAAGTGGAATATGATGGCTCTCCCACTGGGGAACTTTGCAGACCAGATCAGAGATAATTTATTCACAATCCTGGGGTCAGATAGATAAAGCAAGATTGGCATACTCTAGCCTTCTCTAATACCCAGTACAATTACAGATCTTTAACATTATAACGTACAAGCTAAACTGACCTATATTACACAGAATCAGAACAAAATGCAAGCAGCAGCTAAATCTCGTATCAGTGGGATGAATATTCATTATCTAAGCATTTTAGGTTGAATTTAAGTGGTCATATTTCCTTTCTTTACATACTAATTAAAAGATTGTTTTGTCATGCTTACTTATTCTTGTATTTTATCAACACCCACATGGTTTAGCAAAGAGCAAGTTTGGCTTTTTATAAACAAAGGAAAAAAAACAAAAGCTCAACATGCAAAACTTTTTACTTTAGTGAATCTATTCTTGTTTCCCAAGATACGATCATTGAGTTCTGCTTTAAAACCATATATCAGCCTTATCTGGTACTCTGTGTAATGTAGAGAGACTAGTCTGATATCCGGTCTGCTATACAAACCAAGTCTTTTGTCTGATATATATGGGACTTTTCTTTCTGCATAAGAGCCCTGGCACCACATTACATTCCTTGCTAAGATCCCTTCTTCTTATCATACTTTTATTAGATCATGTTATGTGGCTGTATACTTACATTTTAAAGCCCAACCCCAGACAAAACTTTTTTTTTTATAGTTTTGTCCAATGGCTGGAGTTTGGCTTTAGTATTTGCTACGTCTGATGTTGTGGTTGCTTATGTTTCTGTTACAGTAATTAATCTGGTAATTAATGTTATGTTTTGTTTCAGGCACATCATGATGGTAAAAAAAACAAAGAACAAAAGATAAAAAGCGGAAGGAAAAGCGTAGAAGCTCATAAAACATCTCGCTCATCGGGTACCTTTAAATATCTTCTATTTTTGATAGATATAAATGGAAATAATATACACTTTACTTATACCAATTATCAGAGGTCATCTTGAAGTTCATAAAACTGCATATCCTGGACTCTTATATAGGTTATGAATATACAGTATGTTATATAACATGGCACAGGTATAATTCAAAATGCTTTACACACCAGGATAGGAGTCTTTATTTTTAGTCGCGTGACCATAATTTTCAAACGTCATTGGAGTCTGAAAATAACTGTCACTTTTTAGAAAATAAAAATCTTTATTCTGGTGTGCTAACTTTATAAATAGAGCCCATTATACAGTATCTATTTAGGATCCATTTACACCAGAAGCATTGGGTCTGCTTTTTCCCACACACTACCAATGCATAGACAAGGCACTTTGCCTTGTTTTAAATGCACACAGTTTATACCACCGCATTGCAGTTGTGTGCGCTGATAAAAAGTAAGGCATTCTTTTTTTTTTATTGCTGCATGGTTTGACATGGTTCAAATAACATCACACTGCACTGATAGAACTTAATTACATATCTCTGGGGACATTTCAATAAACATCTAACAAAAAAAAAGGAAACAGTGCTCTGGATTCAGCGTGTCAGTACTATGCTTGTCAGCACATACCGGTACCAGCAGCCATTCTTGTGTCTTGTGTTAATGCATGTATATTAACGCATGTTGTGTCGTGCATTAACATGCATCGTGTTAAGGCAACCTATTCAAATGAATGGGCTACCAATGCACCAGAACAGCTAAAAAAAAGGCATCCTTATATTTTTCCAACACAGTGCACCACAACACACAGTAGTACATTACTGTACATTGTGGAATACTGCAGCATGTGCTTTGGAGGTGCATTGTCTTTGTGAGTTGCTGTAATGCATGTTACAACAAGGCACTGCAATGGATATGTGTAAATGGGCCCTGAACAGTTTGCTTGGACCACGAAGAAGCCGTGAAAGCGAAACAATTGCTCAGACATACAGAGTTCGCCAGTTTAGGGTAAAGCCAGTTAGCCTGCCAGTATGATAAAATTGGGGGAGACATTTGGATCGCTTGGAGGAGGTCATGCAACACAGAGAAAATACAAAGATATAGATAGATAGATAGATAGATAGATAGATAGATAGATAGATAGATAGATGCAGATAGTGTCCTTGATAGGAATCGAAATCAGCACTGTAGTGCAAAGGTGGTATCTTGTTAGCCCCTGCATTGTCCAATCAATCATCCTTATATCCAGTTCTGTTTCATGATAATTGAGGGTTTTTATATATCATTATATCATCTTTATAAACACATCCAGTTAATCCACCTTTTTTTTCCTTTTTCCATATTTTTAGCCAAAGAGAAAAACAAAGATTGCAATATAAAGCCAACAGAAGATGAGCCCCAATCTGCACCAATACCTCTGACAGCAGAGATTACCGTCGGTTTCCTGCACTAAAGGTTATACATCCAGGAGTGCTATAAATGTGACAATAAGGAGGCTTTGTCCTGATTGTCCTCTGGTGTGAAACGTTTATACTTCTATTTGTATTGTGGAAACATGTGATACAGATATGACATCACCTGAGTGCCATAATAAATATTGTTACCAATCTTATACCTTGTTATGAATTGGACCATATAAATATTAGCTCAGTGATAACTATGTGAATTCTCTCATGACAAAATCTAACTACAATATGCCCTTGTAAACCATTCTGTTCCAGTTGAAGCTGTTGAAGCCTAGCTCCATCCAAATTTGTTTGGTTTTGGATAGCGTAAGAAAGACTTAAAGGGGTTCTAAAGCCTCCCGTTTTTTTGCCTATATCTACTGCTAACAAGCAGTAGATATAGGCAAAAAGTTTACAAAAAAAAACAAAAAACGCTTAAACAGCGGTTTAGACTGACCTTATTATCGCTGCGCGCTCCCGCGGCGAGAGTCCGGAACCGTTCGTGCGGCCGCAAAGGATCTTGGGGCAGGCGCATGCGCAGTTCGGATTCTCGGCCGGGAGACGAGCAGAGACGCAAGGTAAGTCTATGGACGCGTGCACCCGCATGCAGACACCGTGGGACAGGAAGTGGCAGCAAGCAGAGAGGAGTCAGCGCTGGATCGGAGAGCCGCCGCACCGCTGAAGGGACAGATGAAAACATCAGGAAAGAAGATTGGATTAAGAAACCTCATTTAAGGTAAGTGCTGACATTAACATGGGGGGGGGGGGGGGGTGCCTTTAATTTCCATT